GAATTCCCCAGGCTGGGGAATCCTGGGAGTTGAAGTCCACACCTCTTCAAGTTGACAAGGTTGAGAAACACTGGTCTATTGTCTCGACGGCTGCATGTTCTACACGTCCAGTTTTGTTGCATCGCCATACAGAACACTTGGCACATTCCCAACGGGATTGTTGCTTCCAAACTCGGAGCAAACTGTCTTACCCGCATGCCAACTTGGGCACTACCTTAATGTTCAGATCAGCCTCCAAGGGAGGTGAGAAACAGGAAGAGAGGTGAGGAAACTGGCAATTGCAGATATGACTTAAAGCAAAGAATTCTATTTTTTTTCTTTTTTGCACGGGCTTCCCTGCCTCTCAAAACAAACACGCCCTCAAACTCAAAGACGCCACTAAGTCAATCTTGCCCTCGTGATCAATAAATAAGGGCCCGGTTGCCAGCACCTGTCTGCAAACACAAACAGACCCGCCTGGGCGAGCCCAGGAAATTGTCTATGTATTAAAGGGCCTTTTCTGTTTGCAAGAGAATCCTTAAGCCAGAGATTTCCAAACTGTTGGGTTCCTGCAGCCTGCTAAAACGATAAATGAATTCATGCCACCCAGCCACTTGAATTAAACTTGTGATTAGAAAGAAATACACCCATTTATTTTGGCAAGCAATAAGTACACCAATTGCATTTATCGGTAGAAAGAAATGGTAGAAATTGGTGGAAAGAAATACACCCATTTGTCTTGGCAAGAAATAAATACACCAATTTCCCCATTTTAACGGCGCCATCGGAGGGGTTCTGAAACTTTGCAGCATCAGAAGGGCCAAAGGAGCAAATTTTGCAATCTCTTCCAGGCAAAACCAAAAGGAAAGACCAGAGAGATGGTTGACGATGTTCTCACTTTGTCCACACAAGCCAAATCGGATTTTTTAAAAGCGAATCCACTACCAGATTGCTCACAACCACCCTGGAGATCCCAAACTATAGTTTGAGAACATCTGCCTTCCTGCAAGTCCCTGTTGCAGTACAAAGGGAGATTCTCCCCCCATCCTATCTTTTCAAGACTTATTGGAAGGATCCCCTCCAAGAATAAACAAAGCCAGAAAAATCAAAATGGAATCAAAAACGTCTCCCTTCAAAACTTTTAAAGTCTGCACTCTGTTTCTATCTGCAAGCATTTCTTTAAGCAAGCTTCCGATCGGCCTGGCAAGTCTTAACCACTTTATTCTTCTGCACAGGGAGACCTGATCTCTAGCTGAGGTTAATCCGGAGAAGAAAACGCAGTTGGACTTTGCAATTTGAAAAAGAGGCCCAGCCTCGCTGAACTTTGCTTCCTGCCCTCCAAATGAACCGACTAAATAAGTTTATGACGGGGCTTCAGAAATCCATATTTCACAGAAATCCAATGAATGGAATGACGTGTTGTAGGAACATCGCAACTGTTCTGATCGGTCTTCCTTTTCCAACAGACCGTGCAAATTTATACCCCTCTGGCCCCAAAATTGCTCCCTGTGGAGTCAGATTTTGGAAAAGACAGACATCGCCAAGGTTGCACCACCGATCCCAGACTGGGGAAAGCTTTCCCTGTTGAACTTCTGCCCCACTCACTCACCAACGTAGTCGGGATCCACACGGGGGGAATACAGCCCGAATTTGATAAAGATGGGGAGCAGGAAACCAAATCGCACCCACTCGATGACGTAGAGAGGGGGACTGGCCTCGTCCGGCTTGAGCAAGTTGCAGTCCAACAGGGCGCTCTCTCCTTTTCGGCCAACCACCGTGCGAGGTTCTGCTCTGTTGTTACCTGCTGGCAGTAAAATTGATAGGGAGTAAGATAAGCCACGCTGAATCCAGTCCAAACCCTGAGTTTGCTTTTTGGATTAAGGCAGTGTCAAAACCCACTTCCTGAATTCCCCAAAGGGGAGGAAGAGGCTTCTGTTTTTCTACCTCATTCTCAGAGAGTTTCAAATTTGTTTCTAATGGCTTCAGGGGCTGAACAGCCCAGGGAAATCAAAACGGGCAGTAAATTAAGAAGATCTGCCACTTCAGAACCAAACAGAACCAACGCTTAATTGACTAACTAGACAATACTTTTGGGGAGGAACTTTTTTGGGGTCAGTGCAAAACCATAGAGAGATGCTATCACGTTGCATTTGGCCTCCGGCCCATTTTGAAAAATACTCAGCTACAAGCAACACCAACAATAACAACTTTTGAAAAATGTTCAGGGTATTTCTAAATGGTGGCACCCTCTAGAAATACCAGATAGAACTTTGGATGCAGAGTTGAGCTTGATTTTTTTAAACATACAGAGCCTCAAGTTTCTAGTCCTCAGGGGTGTGAAAAACTGAAGGCGGTGTGCATGGGTCTCTCCCTTCCTTTTATCTTCACAACCCACCACAGATGAACAGTGCCAGGTCACGCCGTGAGTTTCCTCGCTGACCGACTGAAATCTTCCCACCCCTTCAGGCATTACCGAAGAAAAATCAGGTTATTCTGAAAAGCAGACTACAAACTCTGATAGGCAGAAAGGCGTAGATGATTCAGAGGTCAATCATGGAGGCCTCTGCCCATTTCAGGACCCCGTGCCTGCGAGCTCTGCCGAAGAGTGAGGTTTGCAAACTTTTGGCAAGCTCTGGAGCAATCGAATCTCGCTGGCAGAGGTGACCCCATGAGGTAGATCAGAGATGATTATTCCACAAAGGAGATGGATAACTTTTTTCTCTCTTCTCTTCTCTTCTCTTCTCTTCTCTTCTCTTCTCTCTTCTCTTCTCTTTCTTTCTCTTTTTTTCCTCTCTCTAATATATATAGAGAGGGAAAAAAGAGA